ATATTTTGATATTTTTTACTGATTATTATCCGAGATGTAACAAATTTTACGACTATCTTAAATATATCAGCTTATTTTACTTCCTTCTAATCTTATAGCAGCCACCAATCTATCGGCCAGCTATCGATTAGATGATTGCTTGATGATATTTGGTTTATATTTTTGATTTTGACCAGTGTGTCCTACATATGTATCATCTAGGTTTTTAGAAACATACACCCCAATCTGAGAACTGGAACTTGCGATCTTTTGCATTGCTACCGTAACCTACTTCTTGCTCTTTACAAAGTTTGTTTCGATCCTGATATCCACTTTCAATCAGTCTTTATACCGATCTCTCCCCAACTACCAAACTAGTTAGCCTGGAAGAGTTGTTATACCTAGGCTCTAAATACCTTCTGGTTTTACTTTCCTTGGTTTCAAATTTCATAGTATCAGATCTTTTTCTCCGATATGATTCCGGTAGCCAGGTTGGTAGACCTATCTTGTCTCAGAGTTGTTTATCTGGTTTTTCGGTCTTTGGTTCTGGTTTTCTGTAATATCATTAAAGATCTTCACTATTCCTAGCTTGGGTCTTGCCAAATAGGTTTTAAATATTCTAGTTCCTTGGATTTGGATTGCCCTAAAGCTTCCATTTCGAGATGGTAGTACCAAGGTTACAGGTGATATACCTAACCAATTGTTGAATAAATATTACTATAACACAGATCTATTTTTCGAAAAACATCTCCAGTGAGAATTAAACTCTAGACCTGCCAATTGGGAGTGACAATTTAACCACTACTCTATGTCACCACACCCCTAAAAATAATAAATATTATAATAGATATTAGATAATATCTTAAAGAAAAGTAAAATTAGTTAAAAATATTTTATAATATATAAGATTTTTTATATTTTTATTAATAAAAAAATATATAAAATTTTGTATTACTCAAAATTTTATTAATTGATTTTAACTTAGGGCTCTAAATAAACTTGTAACCATAATAAGAAGTTTACCCTATAATTAACGTGACAAATCGTGATAAATATCGTGCGATCGTTCACAACTTGTGCTAAAGCCAATCAAATTTGCGAAAGTACGTAGATGATTCTAGAACACGATTTCTTTATTTATATTTATAGCATATTGTGCTATATGTGCCGAAATTCTGGTCGGAAATCAATTGACGGCAGCATATATTCAATGGTATCAATGACTAACACGTTCTTTGCTTACAATAGACAAGGTTATCATTTATATAATACGGAACGGACACCGTAAAAATTAAAAAAATAAAATAAAATAAATTTGGAACGGACAATAACACGTGGTTTTAAGACGCTGTGCTGCCTAAATTCTGATCTGTCCTTACGTACGTACGTACAGTACATAATTAGTAATAACCGTTACTTGGAACTCAATACCGATATACCTTAAAAGCCGTGACACTTTAAACATTTGGATTTCATTATTAAAACGAAACAGTCTCGATTCGTGTGTGTACTAAGCCACGTAATTGTATTAGACTTGTATTAATAATCCATTTAATACTTATTGCGTTAGCAGCACAAACATACATATTTCTTATATCACTTTTTTTTTTTATAAATACAGTAAATAATTTGGAAATTAAAATGAAAAAAGCTTCCAAATAACTTTATTAAAAGATCAATTTTTTATTTTTACAAAATCATTATTAATATTAAACAATCTTGTCAATGACTAATTATTATAACAATCTTTTTGGTTTCTTTTGTTAGAAAATAATAATTGTTCATTAAATGTCACTTGTCACTCGTCACATGCATTCATTCTTAAATGATTTGTCAAACTGTTAAGATGAGTCCATATTTATTGTGTCGCTAAACCTTTGTGGGAAAATGTTTCAAGGTGCCTTCCCGTTAATTCAATCTTTTAAACCTTTTAAATACCTGACAAGTTCGGGATTCTTTAAAAAGAAATCATAATCACATGACTTTAAAAAATTATTAAAAGGCCGGACTGTAGTGGAACGACACCTAATCGGATAATTTTAAATATCACTAGTAGTGAAAAAAGTTAAATTTTATTCGAATTAGACTCCACGATTTTGCGGCGCAAGAATTCTAGTACGATATGTATGACGTGTATGTCACAAAGTCGCATAAAAGGGGTCACCGAAGTCGATGGCTTTATACGATTCGACATTCTCTTGTGTTGCTTAGGCTTTTTTTTTTTTTTTGTGGTGTTCTTTCGGGTTTATATGATAACTTGACATTCTAAAGTCTTCCACTAATCTTATTTATTTTTTCAACTCTGTATTTTTGGTGTCTTACTGTTACAGACGTTCTTTCATAGCCAAATATTAAGTTAGTGACTCACGTATCACGAATCAACTGACCTGCTTATACAGGCACATTCATTATTATCTTGAAAAGGCATACAAACTTTCGTTATCCAATTTTCTTTACCAAAACCTACTACAAATTTGGCGCACTTGAGGGTGTGCCTATTTAACATTTACCCATCCTGGAACGCGACCCGCAACTTGGAAGGGCTAGTAGCAGAGGCAATTCTGTCACCAGCGACACCCACCAACTTTCGTTACGCAGCTTATTAGAAAGTGCTTCTGCTGCAGTCTCTCAGACTTCTCACACATTGATCAACTCTATCGACGAAGAGCCTGTTTCTTTACCTTATATTCTTTCTTCTCCATCACATATTACTTCTCCCTCAAATTCAAATTCTTCATTTCTTGCGGACGAGCCACGGACTCAAACTAGTGGCTATCACCCCCGTGACGAAGTCGATAACGATTATTCGCGACCCAGTGATTCTGATTCTGATTTACGCTTTCCAAAGCGTCCTCGTCTTATAAAACACTCCACTAGGAAAAAAACAATGAGGCTTCCGAAGAAAGAAAACGGGGTTGGAAGTAGTACTAACGGTGTTTCAACTGCTAGTAATGGTAGTTCACAAGTTGTTACTAATGGTCAAGTTTCGGCTCTTACAAGTTTGCAAAATCCTAGACGAGAGGAACTTGTTCGGCTCATGGTGCAAGCAATGCAAGATATGGGCTATAGGTAATAATTAAATTCTTGATTCTATTCTAATTGACCTTATGTTGCTAATTTTCATATTTATTATTTAGTAAATCTGCCACTCAACTTGAAAAAGAATCTGGCTTTTTACTTGAAAGTTCTGCTGTCGCAAAATTCAGGGATGGCGTGTTAAAAGGTGATTGGGACTTGGTTGAAAGTCTTTTCCCAACATTGGAACTAGATCAAAATCAAGATATCGTGGTAATATTCATTGAACTTTTAATTTATTTGCATTTCTTTAATCCTATAATATATGTATAAACTCTTATGTAATTTTTTTCAGATTGTACGGTTTTTAATTCGTCAACAGAAATATCTGGAATTACTAGAAAGAAGAGAAATAAAATTGGCTCTATATACATTGAGAAATGAACTTACACCACTCGCATTCAATACTGAAAGACTTCATTTGTTATCTAGGTATGTATATATGTTTAATCCAATTTTTTAACGCGTTAAATTTGCTAATTAATGTAATTAATAGCTATTATTATTTATATTATTATTTAAAATAGCTTTATAATGTACTCTAATGCTGAAGATTTAAGACGTAGAGCTGAGTGGGACGGTGCTAATGGAACTTCGCGTCAAAAATTATTGTTGGAGATACAGAGTATGAACTAAAACATTTTCAATTCTTATTCTAAATATAATTTGCTAAGTATAATTCACTAAAATTTATTTATTATTTTAAGAATACATTTCTCCTTCAATAATGGTACCTGAGCATCGTTTAGAATCTTTACTTGAACAGGCTACAACTTTACAACGTATATCGTGCCTATATCATAATTCTGATAAATATATTTCTTTATATTCTGATCACGTCTGTGATAGGTAAAGAATTTTTTATTAGTATTCTTAAATTGATTCAAACATTTGTAATTGATTTCACACATGGGAAATAAATGTTTTTTATGTTGTAGGTCACAATTTCCTTCAAGCACTACTCATATATTTGAACGGCATAAAGACGAAGTTTGGTATGTTGCATTCTCAAATAATGGAAAATTTTTGGCTTCGGCATCAAAGGATAAGACAGCAATCATATGGAGTCTTGAGGTATTGTAAATTTCGTCATTTTGAAATCACTTCTAATTATGTTTATCAAGACGTCTGAAACTGATGCTCATTCTAATTTACTAGACATTAGATTATGTGCACGAGTTGAAAGCACATACGGACTGTGTTTCTTTTTTATCTTGGTCTCCAGATGATACCAAAATCTTAACATGTGGACAAGATAACGAAATAAAACTTTGGAGCGTAGAAGTACGAAAATGAAATATAAAAGCTCTTGTTATTGTATAATACTTTTTTCTAATTAACTTCTTTTTAGTCTGGGGAATGTTTGACTACACTGAAAAAACATCTCTACCCCGTAACTGCTTGCGCATGGCTTCCAGATGGACTACACTTCATATCTGGTAGTCAAGATAAAGATACTCATTTATGGGTAAGGTACTTAAGGTTTTATTATGTTAGTTGAATTGACTTTTATTTTATTTTTCAATTCTTTGAATAGAATGTAGAAGGGACAATTTTGTATACATGGACCGGTGCCCGGATAATGGATTTGGCGATAAATAAAGAAGGAACGAGGATGGTGGCGATTTGCCATGATGAAAAACTCCATATTTATAATATTGAAACAAAAAAAGAAGAGGCGTACGAAACTTTAAATTTATATACGTGTATAATACGAATTTTTTACAAATAGATATGAACTTTGATTTATATAATTTATCTAGGATAATGGATGAAAATGCTAAGCTTACCTCTATTTGTTTATCAAGTGATTGCAAGTATGCTTTGGTGAATCTTTCCACAAGGGTATGAATGATCGAATTTATCATTCCTTAATGTGTTAAATGTTTTACCGAAAGAAAACTTATAAAATATAGGAAATTCATCTATGGGACATTGAAGAAAGACGAATTGTTCGTAAATATTATGGCCAGAAACAGGAAAAGTTTGTTATTCGGTCTTGTTTTGGTGGTATTGATCAGGGGTTCATCGTCAGTGGTAGTGAAGGTCTGTAGAAAAATTTAATTATTTTATCATGTTAAATGGTTCACTTTTAGTTATTTTATTTTATTTTTTTTTCAGACTCCAACATTTACGTTTGGCATCGAGAACACGCTACGATGATCGAAATCTTGTCTGGTCATAAGGGTGCTGTCAATAGCGTTAATTGGAGTCCCGTTAATCCATATATGTTTGCATCTGCCGGAGATGACCATACAATCCGGCTGTATGTTTATGTTTATGTTTATTTTTATTTTTATTTTATTTTTTTGGTTGTTATTATTAGGTATATTAATTTGTTTTTTTTCAATTCACACAGATGGGGTACACCCAATGCTGCGGATCACAAAGGCAAAATGAAGACCTCGTGACTAATGACTGTAGTTGATTGAAAACTTCTAAGCTTAGCCGAGTCGACAACTCTGATACGGCTAAGCCGACTTAGTCGGTTATTATCTCAAAAAAAATAATCTGCCAATAATAAACTATAATCTGGAAATTCCCATTGGCCACACTCGCATTGTTTTATTTTTTACATAAATAAAAAAAAAAAAAATAAGATAAGACTCGTTGTATAATAATAAAAAAAAAAAAGAACGATAAGCGTCGTTGCGTAACATCTTCCAAATTAAAAAAAAAGTTATGTAACATTCTAAAATGAAGCTGATCCGCTGATCCAGAATGCGATGATACGGTGCCCCGATAGACGTAGCCGTGGTATGACTATCCACTGACCTGAAAGAGAAGACCAAAGGAGATAATAATTTAGACTAGAAGGGTTTGGGGCATGGATAAAAAATTAAGCATGTGCCCCTATTTTAATAACGCGAGCAAGAGTATGCTATGTATTAAACTGAAATCAATTAAGATTAGATTAGCGTTAGTGGATTCACCAACATTCAGCAAATCGACCCAAATTTGGATCGGATTAGGCCGGAATTGATAAATACATTCTAAAAACACAAAATTTTACTAAAAGTGGCACTCGAAACCGACCCGGACCAGGCCACTGTTCGGGTCCAGGTCAATGGTTTTTCTGACCCGACCGGTACTGTGTCTTTATTTGAAATAAAATGACGCACGTTGAGTGGCTGAATTTGGGTTCGGACCGGGATTTCGGGTCGGATCTGGGGTTTTTTGGTTTCGGGTCTTATCGACCAGAATCGTCTCGTGAAAAACACTGCCAAAATGATAATATAGTTGGTCGGTATTATTCCTTAATGTCACCTGGCTCCGGCCTATTCCTGACCCCAAATTGACGGGGTAAAATCGCCACCCAAAAAAGTTTCGAAATTCATGTGAGATTGTCAATTCATCATGATTAGGATCATGATAATATTTAGCAGATATTGATTTAATAAGTGATTTTTTTGTCTTCGATTCTTCAAAATGAAAAACGATCGTTGCAATCTCGACAAACCAAGTGATTCTTTTAAAAGCATAAAATCAAATAAACACAATATTTCTAAAAAATACATTGATTTCCGTAACCAAATTTCCACTAATAATAAACGAAAAAAAGAATAAAATTTAATCAAAAAATGCAATTGCACCAGAAAATCCTGTAGATTTTATTTATAATGCTCTTCCGGAAGAATATAACTCTGATTATTTATTTGAGCAAAAAATTTTTATAATTCTGAATTCAGGACGCAATTGAAGAAACATAACGAATCCAAATAGTGACAAATGGCTCGATAGTATTAATAAAAACTTTGATCCATTGCATAAATTGGAGAACTATAATCATTTTAAAAGATAATGGAATATTCAAATAAGTAGAAAAACCGTAATCATAATACTTTCTGGCTGTAATAAATATTACGTTTATTGAGTTTATTCGAAGTGATTAATTTATTATTTTTTTTTTCAAGTTAAATGAAATTTTAGTGCTTGATATATTTGTCATGTGATGTTCGAAACGTTTTAGGTGACGATTTTCATGATTTCCGAGGTCAATTGTTTTCGAAAAAAAAAGGTTTGGGTTCGAGATTTGTTAAGGCACGAGATTTTTTACGTTACGCCAGATCCTGATTTTTAATTGGCCAATTGATCTCGGGAAATCGATCCAGTGTCCCGGTGCTGTTGTAACTTGCTAAGATCGATTTCGTAGATCTTCATTTAATGTCGCACGGCCAGTTAAGTATAACATGCCCGTCTTTCCCTGCGTCACCACCAAAATTTCACTGTCACGTGACAGTGAGATAAGTCTCATACTCTGAACCTAATAAAGACTTATCAAAAGGTTTTTTCGTTCATGACACCCTATAAGTTCACATTCTTCAACCTCCAACGACGGCTCTGACGAATGGAATGTACTCAAATACCTATAGAAAAAAGGCATTAGTATCAACAAGGGTTGTTATCGGCTTGAATGGCTTAGTTTGGCTCCTAAAAACTATGGCTTCAGCTTGAGCTATGACTATTGGGGCTGTGGTTCGAGCCATAACTTGAGTCATAGCTCAAACAGTGGCTCTAGTAGCCATGGCTTAAGCCGTAGTTTTAATAGCTGGAAAGTGATATTAATCACGTAACAATTATAAGTCATGACTCAAGCTATGACTTTAAGCTATAGCTTGATTACGATTCAAGCTACAGCTCATTTGGCTTGGGTCAGCTCAGCTCCATTATACGGCTAGAGTCGGTCTCAAAGAAACCGCTAACAACCCTAGTATCAACGGTAATAAGACTCAGCGAAAGAAATTAGTAATCAGTTTCCTCTTTCTCATTCTAGCCCGCACCAAAGAGTTGATAAAACAATTATTTTTATCTTGCATTGTATACTTACGACTTATGCAAACATTCATGACTTAAATTTCTATTGAAATGTTTGTATTTAACATACAAATGTTAACGATTTAAAAACAGACATGCCTCTATGAATCTTGTAATGAGATAATAATATACCCTGTTTTTATATGTGAAAACCACTCAATAATGGCTCAACTTATTAAAGGAAAACACTGCTTTTAATTACATTTTTTATAAATAAGCATCCAGATTTATTTTCAATTGATTTATTTTTCTTTCCTCCAACTTGTAAAAATATCTTTCGTAAATTATAAAAATGAGAATTTTATTTTAGTACGTGTCATGGATCGATTGGTACCAATTAGGACGGAGCATATTATTCAGAATTACTTATCGATATATACCATGACACTGTATATACAAAAACAAACAATAATGTTAAACTTATTAAACATATGCTCTGTATTAAAAAAAGCACGTTATTTACCGTCCTTAACACCAACTTATTTAAAGACATCAAGTGAAACAAGTCCATTCTTCACCCAGCAAGGATCCGGCCAAACCTTTGGCAATAAGCGAGCTAGTTAATCTTTGAAAAAATAGATCTATTATGGACAATGTTTAAACTTACTCTTGCAAATACTCTTCCTTTGATTAAAGCATAAGGTACGGGTCCATAATTTCTAGAGTCAGTGGAATTACTCATATTATCACCTTGTATCCAAACATGACCAGAAGGTACCTAGTATTTATGAATGAATTATATAGAATTTAAAGAAAAAAAAAATGCTTAATGGCAATTCTTGACTCACAGTAATATATCTACGATTGACTGCTGTTGGATCGATGCACACTCGATCCCCTGGCTAATCAAATTGAATAATTAATTATTATAAATTGCCTATTATATAACCATTTTAATAAAAAGTTTAACTTACCATTCCTAAAATGCGTTTACAAACTGATCTCCAAGGATCCGTAGGAGTAACACAAACAACCACATCCCCAATTTCAAGAAGTTTTAATCTATGAGTTATGCGTTCTAATGCAATGAAATCCCCAACCATATTTAAAGTTGGAAGCATTGAGGGTCCTAGACACTTTTAATGCATAAAATTCATTTATTGAAGTTCTGATCTGGGAGTAGATCTTTTACGCGCCTTTCTTGCAAGAATAAAGTAAATGAATATACCTGAGTTATTTCTATTATGTATTCATTTGTAATATGTATAGTACAGAAGACTCTGATTCCTACACTAAATATTTTTGCAGCTTTACGAGCAAAAGGTGAAATATATATAAAAATTGACATTAAAGCGCGAAGAAATTAAACGAATGCCGTTGATCAGAATCATACTTTGCACATGATTAAAGTTTTGCAATAATATGATTGGATAATTTCGAAAAATAACATTTCCTTTTTTAGAATAACAATGTATTATAATTATATTGGTCTATATGTAACAATGAAACAATAAAATGAGATTCCCATTCAAATACATTTATGTAATATGCAAAAAAAAGTATTATCTTTATATCAAATAAGGCATAAAATAAGTCAGCCTGGAATTGATCCACACATATATATTAGAACTTTAAATATCATTTAATTAATGTTCTGAACGGATTGATGATAACCCGTTAAAAGTATTTGTAAAGTTAAAATTTTGTGTAATTCCTTCTACAATTAGTCGTAAATTGCAATGAAATACCCTATGTGATGCATTATGCATCACATCATACATAAATAGTATATATTTTAAAAATCGACCTATCTATTTGTTACACCATGTATTTTCCATTGCGTTTACGACACTCTAAATTTGCTAAATTGCTCGGGTAATTAATTTATATACTTTAGTGTACTTTTTAAGAAGCGACAAATCATTATAAATATTGTTTAAAAAATAAAGATCGGAGCAACCAAAATTTAGGGTCGGAATAGGCCCGGAGCCAGGCCGGCATTAAGCAATAATGCCGGCCAATTCCGGCATATTCCGACCCTAAATTTTGGTCGTTCTGCTGAATTTTGGTTGTTTCACCCGTTTAACTGCTTATAGTTCCGGGCCGAATTATGTCGATCACGGCCCGAAATTATTTAATAATGGTTAAATAAAAAAATTAACACGGCTAAACGATTAGTAAAATATTAGGTAGTCTTAATCTATAAAATAGCATAAACAAAATCGAAAATTCATAGTGCAGGAATCTGGTCTTATATATAAAAATATATTTTTTATTATGCAACCCTTTTTTTTGCTTTTAATAAAACATTAAACTCGGTTGGATAGATTGAGATAATTTTTTTTTAAAATTGAAAGCATAAAGAAATAGTAAAATTGCGCCAATTTTTTACTATGAAATTTGTACTTTTTAATAGAAAATTACTCTAATTTTTTTTAGTTCTATACTTGAGTAATACTGTATTAAAAAAAATCACAAGTTTATTTTTTATTATTTACCGAACTTAAGACTAATTAGAAATATATATATGTGTGTTGTACCCCGAATTGGAATCTTTTCCGATTCAGAATCGGAACAGTCACGGATGAAAATTTTGTAATTTTGGCCTGAATTATACTATCAAAATTAAAATTTTATTATTCTAATTCTACAGTGC